AGGACCCTAGTCTCAAAGAAATGACTTACCCAGGGTCATGCAGCCAGGAGGTCAGACCCAGAGGGAGCGGGGAGCTAACATCTGGGGCCCCTGCTGCTCCCCAGGCCCCGGGGGCTCTCCCTGGGGTCGTACAAAGAAAGGCTCACATCACTCCTGAAAGTCCAGTTTTCAACCCCGTTCACAAGAGGAGCAAACAAACACAGGAGTGGGGGGGGGGGGCGGTGATGCTTCCCACCTTGGTCTCCCCGACTCCTCCCTCCGCTCCCCACTCTCTGGCTGGCAGATCGTCAACTTTAAAAGCTGACGGCATTCGAGGAAGTATTTCTGGGGAGTGTGAGTCCCAGGAAGAGGTCCCTGGCTTCGCATTCCTGGGAAAGGAGGAGGGAAACTGAAACTGGCACCGGGCCTCACAGCCTGGGAGGGCCTGCCCGCTGCTGCCCTGCCATCTGGACCGTGTGTGCTATAGAGGTTTGGGCGCCTCCATGTGGCCCAGACCTGGGAGGGACAGCTTCAGTGCCCTGGTGGTGTACGTGTTTATTCACGCACTCATCCGCCCACAGGCAGCTATGGTGCACCCCACCCTGCTCATGCCAGGGCGTCACCAGTGACATTGTCATGATCTAGAGAGAGACAGACCCAGAAACAGATACGCACCATGTGCCACACTGGGATGAACCCTCCTGTGAGGGATCCCAGGAGGGCTTCCTGGAGGAGGGGCCCGGGAGCCGAGAGCTGAGGGAGCAGGAGTGAGCCTGGCGAAGGGAAGTGAGTGCATTGTGCAGCCTGTCCCCTGGCCCTGTGTGCATGTCCCCAGTCATCTGCCCTCTCCCCACTTTATCTTCTAAAAGAGCTGGAGATGCAGAACAGTCTGTTGCAGCGGTTCTCAACCTGTGGGTCGCGACCCCTTTGGCGGTCAACCGACCCTTTCACAGGGGTCGCCTAAGACCATCCTGCATATCAGATATTTACATGACGATTCATCACAGTAGCAACATTACAGTTATGAAGTAGCAACGAAAATAATTTTATGGTTGGGTCACAACATGAGGAACTGTATTTAAAGGGCCAGAAGATTGAGAACCACTTTGGTCCGCAGGCCGACGCTCGATCCACTGAGCCACACTGGCTAGGGCCGTGGTCGGCAAACTGCGGCTCGCGAGCCACATGCGGCTCTTTGGCCCCTTGAGTGTGGCTCTTCCACAAAATACCACGTGCGGGCACGCACGTACAGTGAGATTGAAACTTCGTGGCCCATGCGCAGAAGTCGGTTTTCGGCCTGGGCGAGTCTATTTTGAAGAAGTACTGTTGGTATTTGGCTCTGTTGACTAATGAGTTTGCCGACCACTGGGCTAGGGCAAGAGCTTTCTTTAAGAGCTGACTTTTCCCCACGTGCCCCAAATTGAGAACCGTGTAACTTTGTGATCATGAACTTCTTAAGAGGTACCTTTCCTCTCAAAGAGGTAGCAGGTGGGGGTGTTCCCCGTGGGGCGGCAGAGGTCCCAGGAAAGACGATTCCCAGGAGTGAGACCGGGAGGGCCTGGGCTCCGGCAGCCTTGCCTTCCGGCCAGTTGGCCACGCTCCCGTCTGCGTTTACACTTGGGCTGACATGTCTCCAGGCCACTTTCGTTTATTATCTTTAGGGTTCATGAACCACCCTGGAATGGTAGTCATTTAAACGTAACTTTTCCACTTCTCATACCTTTGGCCCCAAAAGATATACGGTTCTCACACACATTCTTCTTTTACACAGAAATTTCCAAGCAAAGTTTACGTTTCAAGGAATTATTTTTAAGGTTCAGTTTACAGAGAGCTGTCTCAAGTAGATAATTATTTCCGGGGCCCTGTCCCCTGGTCGCAGACTTTAAAACTCTGTTAACTTGAAAATAACCATGGCCTTCCCAGGTCTCGGCTTCTCCTCAGACAGAGTCCTTGGAAGCAATGATGAACGCCTGCATGTTTAAAGCAGCGTCGCAGCAGGTGACAGGGATAGGGAAGCAGGCATTTCTCCTACCATCCGCCTTGGCTGCCTTTGCTAAGACAGAGCTGACCAGCAGTCGCCGAGCTGTTCCCCTTCTTCCTCCCAGGTGTCCATAGCTCAGGCTTCGGCAATAACCCTCATGCTGGTGTGGCGAGGCTCCTCAGGGACCCCACAGTGTCAAGGTCAAGGTCAAGGTCAAGGTCAGCTGTTTGGAATACTGGGCGCTGGCCCCCACCTGGGTGGTGTCATCTTGCTCCAGTGTTCAGAGTGTGTTCATGGATGCATGCACGTGTGGGCACGTGTGTGTGTCGCATAGTAGATTTAAAGAAATGGGGACATGCCGAAACCGGTTTGGCTCAGTGGATAGAGCGTCGGCCTGCGGACTGAAAGGTCCCGGGTTCGATTCCAATCAAGGGCATGTACCTGGGTTGCGGGCACATCCCCAGTAGGAGATGTGCAGGAGGCGGCTGATCGATGTTTCTCTCTCATCGATGTTTCTAACTCTCTATCGCTCTCCCTTCCTCTCTGTACAAAATCAATAAAATATATTTTTTTAAAAAAAGAAAAGAAATGGGGACAGCCATTGTCATACTGTGCCTCTGCCATCCCTGGTCTTCGTGCGTTCCTCCGGGCTGGGCGCTGGCCCAGAGCAAACACCCGGTCCCTCGGTGCTTAATTACGAAAGCGCCTGGAGGAAGGTGTACCTGCCAACCCAGCCTGTCCCTGAAACTTGGCTACAATCACATTCTTCAGCGTCATTGGCGTTTGAAGGTGCTCAGTGACGAGCCCTGCCCTGGCCCAACTGCAAGGCAGGCACAGGGGCTGCGAGTGGGGGTCAGTGACATCCCACGGCCCCAGGAAGCTGGACTGGGGCATGGCTTCCGGGGCTGCAGTCGCTGGTATCACCCCGAGTGTGGAAAACGGCAGCCCCATGGCCGCCCCGGGTCCTCACCTCTAAAATCAGCACCGTGGGGGCAGAGAGGAATGGAGAGAGCGTGACTCCATGGCAGCCTGGCTCCCGGGTGGGGGGAGGGCAGGGCTGCGGCAGCCACATCCTTTCGGCCCCTGGTCCAGACTCCCCAGCAGATAAGCCCACGCCCCCTAACCAGGGAGATGGGAGGAAAGGTGACTGTGTGGATACTCGGGACTTTCTTCCTTCTTCCTTCTCATCAAGGTCATTGCCTCCCCGGGTGCGGCTGTGGAGAGAGTCACCTGCCTGTCCCAGGTCAAAGCTGTCCTTGAGCCACGACCCCGTGCGGTTCCCAGCCCCGCACCCCCTTCGTTGCTGCTAGTAGTAACCATCCCTCTTTGCCCCTGACCTAGGGCTTGGTCATCGAGCGCCTGGGACGGAGGTGCCTGCTCATCGGCGGCTTCGGGCTGATGACCCTCTTCTTTGGGATCCTCACGGTCACGCTGACGCTGCAGGTGAGAGCACGTGCCTGTCCCCCCTCAGGAGCTCGGCGTGGAGCTGGCTCTCGGCTTCGGTGCCCGGGGCCTTGGGCTTGGGCAGGTGGCACTGTCTGCAGACATGGCTCCCCCAGGGGCATCTCAGCCCAGAAGCCGCTGGGGGAGGCTTGAGGGGTGGGGCCTGAGCCTGGGAGACCAGCGACCTGATGAGCTGTGTGACCTTGGGGGTTACATCCCCTCTCTAGGGGCTCTGGGGCCAGCCCGCCTGGGTGTGAATCCCCGCTGTCCCACTTCCTCGCACAAAACTTTCGGCAACTCGACCTCTCTGCTCCTCGTGTCTGTAAAGTAGGCGCTGGAATGGCTTAGGGGTTATCAAGCCATTATTACCCCCATTATTACCCCCATTATTACCCCCATTTTCTGGACGCTGAAACGGGGCCCATAGATATAAAGTGACCTTTACAAGGTCAAAGACGTCCTTTAACCATGACCCTGTGCCGGTCCCCAGCCCCCCAGCCCCCTTCCCTTGCTAGTAAGGTCCGAGGTCACACAGATGGATGGAGGAGGGGCTGGGGCTGGAATGGAGTGTACCTGCCTCCTCACCTGCCCGCTGCTGCTCCCTCGCAGGACCACGCCCCCTGGATCCCTTACCTGAGCATCGTCTGCATCCTGGCCATCATTGCGTCCTTCTGCAGCGGCCCAGGTAGGGCGCCCCCTTCTGCGCCAGCTGGCCCAGGGCTCGCGGCACCACCAGGGGCTCAGGGAGGGGCCGGGCCTGATTGGGGATGGAGGGGGAAGAGAGAGTTCCCAGCCATTCAAGTCAGTGACGGCCTTCATTTCCATCCCACACATGGTGGGCAGTGTGCCGCCCAAAGACACATTAGTTATAACATACAACGACTCGCGGCTGTGAGGGGGTGAGGCAGGCACACGAGTTTGGGATGAATTAATGATACTCAAGGTGCGGTCTGTGGCCGCCCACGGACGAGTTACAGTTCCGTGCGGAAGATATGACGATGATGATAACAGTGGCCATGGCTAAGATTTATTGGTCACTGACCACATGCTGTACTTAGCTCATGCAAGGCCCGTGGCAGCTCAAGAGAAGGTGGGGATGGAGGGGACTTGCCCGGAGCCGACAGGTTGGCGATGCCGGACTCCAGCCCCTAACCACCACCTTGCAGTGCCTGCAAGAGTGGAGTCTGGTGTGTGCACCCAGGACTCATGTCCAGCCCCAGCTCAGGCATTGCCCTCCTGGGAAAGTCCTCCCCTCTCCTTGAGCCTCAGTTTCCCCATCTGTAAAATGGCCCGTGTGGATGAGACTGAGGGCCCTGCCCTGCCGTGGCTGTGTCCGTGTCCCCGGTAGACTGAGAAGGGGTTCAGGGTGGTGTGGCCCCTGCACTGCTCTCTGGGGGCGTCCCTGGTGTCTGTGGGCAGGCTCTGGGGGGCTCTCTCCGGAGGCTGCTGTAGCTCCCTCTCTCCGATCTCTGTCCCTGCCTTCAAATTGCCGCTCCTCTACATGCCCTTCCCAAAGTCCCTCTGCCTCTTTCTTCTTCTTTTTTTATTTCAGGGAGGAAGGAAGAGGGAGAGAGAGAAACATCAGTGATAAGAGAGAATCACTGATCGGCTGCCTCCTGCACGCCCCACACTACGGGCCGAGCCTGCAACCCAGGCCTGTGCCCTGAACGGGAATTGAACCATGACCTCCTGGTTCATAGGTCGATGCTCAACCCCTGAGCCACGCGACTGGGCCTAGTTGCCTCTTCTTAAGGACCCGTCAGACTGGATCAGGGCCATCGTATGACCTCCTTTTACCTTAATCACCTCCTTAAAGACCCATCTCCACACACAGTTACATTTTGGAGGGCTGAGGGTGGGACTTCAACATGTGGATTTGATAGTGGGGGTGGGGGGGGGCGCACAATTCAGCCCATCACGGTGATCACAAGTAAAGGCCCTGGACCGAGAAGCCTCGGCTCTCACACCGCTGAGGACCAGGACAGGACCGAAAGCCTGGCCCTCTTTCCTGCTGAAGGATTTTCATGTTTGGTTCATTTCCATATTTCTGGCCCCTGTAAGTGAGCTCCTACTCTGTGCCCAGCTGTGACCCAGATATTGGGAGAAGCTGCTAGAACAGCCCCCACGGAGCTTCACTGCCAGATAGGGAGCCAGGCACGGACAAGAAATATATAAATATAAAGCCAGGGCAACGGCAGTCCCATGGGGAGGAGGGGACTGACATAAGGGGATGAAGAGGGACAGGATGAACAGTAGGGGGCGCATTTTAACCGAGGCTGTAGGGAAAGGCTTCCCAGCATCTGTGCCACCTGAGCAAACTCCTACCAAAGTCAGGGCCTGAGTCCTGGCTCTGCCCCTCAGAGCTGGGTAACCTTGAGTAAGTGAGGGCACTTCTCTGGGCTGCAGTCTCCCCCTGCCCGCCTGCCCCAGGTACATGGTAGCCAATAGTCCCAGAGATGAAATGATAAGCATTCCTACGCACGTATTCCGTAAATGTCAGCTGCCGCATCATCAAATTGGCACATGTAGTCCTCCACCGCGGCGGGCCAGCTGGCGTCAGAGGCCATTTGGAGAGTGTGGGGAGTGTGTGTGTGTGGTGGGCGCGGGGGGGTGGGGGGGATACCTCTTGTTCAGATGAGCCAGGTCAGAGATGGTGTTCATGCCTTTCGGAGCTCTGGGCTGTAACCCAGCACCCACTCCGAGGCCGCTGCTCACACAGGCAGAGGGGCTCTCCCACCGCCTGCCCTGCCACAGGAGATGGAGGCCGGCAGCATGGCCGCCTCCTCGGGGGGACTAATTCGGCGCCCCGGCTCTCCCTGCAGGCGGCATCCCCTTTGTCCTGACTGGCGAGTTCTTCCAGCAGTCCCAGCGGCCGGCGGCCTTCATCGTGGCAGGCACCGTCAACTGGCTCTCCAACTTCGCCGTGGGCCTCCTCTTCCCCTTCATCCAGGTCAGGCTGGCGGGGGCCTCTTGCCCAGGGGTACCCTCTGATTCGGCAGCCCTCAGAGTGAGGGGCGACTCACAGAGCAGAGGCTGGTCTATCCACTGGAGACTCGTGCTGTTGGCCTAAGGAAGGGAGAAGTGTGCCTCGGCCCAAACCTTTAACCCTTCTCCCTCCTGCACCTCCCAGGAGTGACCCCTAAATGCTAAGGGCTGCCTCAGAGGGAGTGAGCCTCCTGTCATGGAGGGTATGCAAGGAAACCTGGGTAGAATCTCAAACCTGCAACCTGCTCATCGTTTTTGCTGTGTCTGTCACTGTGTGATCCCTATACAATCATGCAGCGAGTAACAGCATGTTGCAAGGGGGATCACCTTCATTCCCACGGGCTCACTTTCAGCAGGGCGGGCGCCCACTAGGCTGGAGCTCCAGGAGCCACACAAGAAACATGAACGGGTGCGGGGGGTCGGAAGAGGCGGGGAGAAATTCCAGCCAGAGCCCCTCTGCGGGGACCCCCTGGGTCAGTGTAGCGCGTCCATGAAAAGCTGCTGGGCTCTGAGAAACAGGGGCTGTGACAAGGAGGCACCGAGGATGTGGCGGGTCTCAGTGTAGGACAGGGAACCCCAATAAAATGCGTGGGTCCCCTTCCTGCTTCTCCCAGGTGGTCACCAAGCCCTCCCGGGGAATCCTCTGGAAACAGGTCTCGGGGCGCCTAGAGGAGAGGCACATCCGGGGGGCCCAGCCCCCAACAGCTGGGACCCTGAGAGTCTTTTACTTGACAAACATTTATCGAGCAGCTACATGCACCAGGCTCTGCGGGCACAGGAGCTGCCGAGGTGACGGGTGCAGCTGGTCTAGTGCAGCCGGAGGGGCCGTTCTCGTCCGAGCATTCGCCGCCATAACCAGGATACGTGAGCTAGAGGGACCGCATTCCGCATTTCTCTCTTCTTTGTGCAAGGCTGCCTCAGAGTAACCGTCAGTGAGCTATACCGTTTGCATATTAGAAAAAGTGATGTTATCTGGGCCTAGTAACGTTCCATATTTTTCTTGCGAATTGAGGAATTTCACTTCCTTTTGACATCACACTTTTCTCACATGTGTATTGGAGGGAAGGAAGAATGTGGTTCATGGAAAATATGAACTTACGATGGCGTTCGCTAGCCCAGCCAGTGTGGCTCAGTGGTTCAGCATTGACCTATGAACAGGAGGTCAAGTTCGATTCCAGTTTTTAAAACATACTTTTTAGAAAGGATAACCTTAGATAGCAATTGGCTTTCACAATGATTAAGTTTTATATGCCCACTTTTCTTTTTAATTTTTTATTGATTTCAGCAAGGAAGGGTGAGGTAGAGAGAGATGGAAACATCAATGATGAGAGAGAATCACTGATCGGCTGCCTCCTGCACGCCCCCCACTGAGGATTGAGCCCACAACCGGGGCACGTGCCCTTGACCAGAATCAACCTAGGACCCTTTAGTCCGCAGGCCGATGCTCTACCCACTGAACCAAACTGGCTAGGGCCACAGATAAGTTTTTAACCTTGCCTTTCCCATATATAGGGGTGAACAAAAGTAGGTTTACAATTGTGAGTACACGAAACAGTTTATTCTTGCATTATTATTTCTTAAATATTGTATTTCCATATGAACTGTAAACCTACTTTTGCCCACCCCAGGTATATGCACAGACACACAAAATCTCTTGCCAGAATAAAAACGAATATTCTTCTCATCCTCTACAATATATACACACACAGTTACACATAAACATGCACACAGAAAAACAAAGCCCACATACCTGAAAGTAAGCAGTATTCTCTTTCACATGCTGCTCGACACACAAGCACAGCTGCTTCATCCACTGCAACTGGGACTGGACAGCGGCACTGTAAGCCTGCAACAACAAGCACAGACAGCAGGGCATGAGATTAACTGGCCCAAAATACATGTGCAGTGCTCTCTTCCAAGGACAACGCTGCTCATGATAGAGGATACAGAAGATACATGGAGATACTTGATTGGCAGCTGCTCAATGCTTCCATAAGCAAGAGGCTTGTCTTTTGT